CAATTTTTACAAAATCCTCTTACTCAGTTTTTTCCCTCTCTTGCTGTCTCTGTCAAAAAATAAATTAAAAAAAATAAAAAATAAATAAAATAAAATAACTTTTATCTTCACTGTATGTAAAACAAAGACTTAATGACTTGCTTTTTCTACCCTATTTCTTCCTTTCTGGTTTTCATTGTATTAATCTGAGGTTAAAAATCCAATTTTTACAAAATCCTCTTACTCAGTTTTTTCTTTTGCAGTTTGTTTGTTACTATAGCAACAAAGATTATTTCAACTTATCAGCATCAAACAGTCTCTACTGAGTGGTGTTTTTATTCCGTTATCTCTCTATCTTTAGCTAGTTTCAAGGCTTATTGCCAGTTCTTTCCCCTCATTTAATCATTCATGAGTTTCTGATTCATGTTCAGTGGCTTATTATACAATTCTGAGCAATTTCTGCAGAAAAGGGAGTTAATTGGGTAGTGTATTAATCAGAAACTCTTGTGGTTTCAAGTGACAGAAACCTACTTCAAACTGACTACAGTAAAAAAAGGAATATATTGGCTCATGATCCTGTGAAGTCCAGATTCAGTTGAATATGGCCTCAAAATGTGTCATCAGGAAATTGCCTCCATTTCCGGATTCTGCTTTCCCTATCTTGCCTTCATTCTCAAAGGGCATTTTTCACATCGTGGCATGTTTTGCTCCAACTCATACTCACTGCCCTAGAACCCCAGCAGAAAGGGAGCACTCTTTTTCCAATTGTTTCTGTAAAAGTCTGAGCCAAGTGTCATTGGCCTGGATTAGGTCACTTGCCCATCCTTTGAACCAATGTCTGTGACTCTGATTGGGGAGCCCTGGGTCACATGCTTACACTTCATTTGGGGGTGGGGCCAGCCCTCCAAACCATATAAGAGTATAGAAGGGACAGTTCACCAAAGAAAAATTGGGTTGTTGCCTCCACAAGGAGGAGTTGACGCTGGGCAGGCAAAAATAACAGACACCCATGGTTTTCTAAGATTCTACAGATCTGTGAATTGTCACCACTCTAGACAGACAACATAGAAGACATCCAGGTGGTCAGCTGCCCATCTAAGCAGGGTTTTGTTGTTGTTGTTTTTTGAAGATTTTATTTATTTATTTGATAGAGAGAGAGCACGTGCAAGAGAGCACAAGCAGGGAGAGTGGCAGAAGGAGAGGGAGAAGCAGGCTCCCCACTGAGCAGGAAGCCCGATGTGGGACTTGATCCCAGGACCCTGGGATCATGACTGCAGCTGAAGGCAGATGATTAACCGACTGAGCCACCCAGGTGCCCCTCTACGCAGGGTTTTGTACTTAGATAGTGATTTCATATGGTCTCACAGTGTTCCAGAACCTAGTTCTCAGCTTTGTGCTTCCAAATATTTGTTGCTGTCAGTGTAGCTAGATGGTTGTTCCCTCTGGGCCTGGCTCATGCTAACCTGACTCAGCAGAGACTGATGTATATCTAATTCCCATCTTAGAATAAATAGTAATTGCCAAAGGACCTGAACAGGGCTGTCCTCTGGTTAGTGGACTTAACCTGTTGAAAACCACAACAGGCCAAACTCTAATCATAAGTTTACTGAGCACCCATGGAACCAGGCAAGAGAAGTTCTCTGGAGAAAATTAGTGGTCAGATGCATCATGCTATGATAGTGTGGTGGCTTTAAAACATCCACGAATGCTGGAAGACTGAAAAGAGAACATGTTACAGGAAGAGAGATTGGTATGTGGTGAGAATGAAAGACAAGAGAGAACTGAGAGTAGTCCAATCTGGCCAAAACATGGAAGGTAAGGAGGGCAGATTAAGCTGAGCTGGGGTGGAGGGGTGGTCGGCAAAGGCCTCACTCTGAGTGCAATGGGGAGCCACTGATTTGCTTTAAGAGGGAAAAAGACATGGTCAAATATGTCATGGAAAGATTGATCTGGGTACAAAGAGAAGCAACTGAAGATGGGCAACACTGAAAGCAGAAGGACTAAGGTTATCGTGGTACTCTAAGGTGAGAGAGTTGATGCAGCAGGCTTTAAAGTAGCAGAATGGCAGTGGGGATGAAGTGGGTATGTTTAAAACAGTGCTTTTCAAAAGTCTGTAACCATGTGTGATGCTTGGAGTTAACTAGACTTACGGTGATCATTTCACAGTATTTATACATATTGAATCATTATGTTGTACACCTGAACTAATGTAATGTTGTCTGTCAGTTATACCTCAATAAAAAATAAATAGTGCTTTTCGAAGTTTAATATGCACACAAACCACCTGGGGATCTTGTTAAAATGCAGATCCTAATTCAGTAGTTCTGGGGTACGGCCTGAGATGCCACATTCCCAACAAACTCCCACATAATGCTGATGCTGCTGGTCTGGACACCATACTTTGAGTAGCAAGGATTTCAGAAATATTATTATTATCTTTATTTTTAAAGATTTTATTTATTTGTTTGTTTATTTTTAAAGATTATTTATTTATTTATTTGCCAGAGAAAGACACAGCGAGAGAGGGAACACAAGCAGGGGGAGTGGGAGAGGGAGAAGCAGGCTCCCCACTGAGCAGGGAGCCTGATGCGGGACTCGATCCCAGGACCCTGGGATCATGACCTGAGCCGAAGGCAGACACTTAATGACTGAGCCACCCAGGCACCCAAAGATTTTATTTTTAAGTAACCTCTATACCCAACGTGGGGCCTGAACTTACAACCCCGAGATCAAAAGTTGCATGTTCCACCAACTGAGCCAGCCCCAGGGTTTCAGAAATATTAAAGAAACAGAATTACAGGAGTTTGTGATTGATTGGTTGGATGGGGGGAGAGTTGGCAACGAGGGAAAATGAGTTGTTCAGGATCATACTCAAATTTCCAGTTTGAGTATCTGGGTGGTGATGCTATCCACAGATACAAGATGAGGAACAGGTTTGGGTGGAGTAGATAACAATAATAGATAACATTTATTAAGTACTTGCTATGTGCCAGGTTCTTTACATATTTATTCTGTACAAAAAACTTATGAGGTAGGTACTATTGTGATCGTCATTTTAAGAGTGAGGAAACTGAGGTCAAGGTCATACAAGTAGTAAGTGGAGCAGCCAAGATTGAAACCCTCTGGCACTCTTCCTGCAGCTAACCATGGGCAAGTTGGATATGTGGAGCTAAAGCACCCGTGGAGATGTCACATAAAGATGTTCAGGTAGACAAGCTGGCCTGGAGTTCAGGAATGGGATTCTGAGCAATGGTTGAAGACCTGGGAGGAATTCAGGATTGGAGAGAATGAAACCAACCAAGGAAGGTTACAACCTACCACCTCAGAGTGCTGTCAGTCTTGTCCCATTTTCCTTTTGCTTATTACAAAGGAAGAATCTGAAAAAAACAAAGTTTTTAAAATAAATATATTTTTTTCTTATTGGATACTGTGTTTGTTCTCTATCCCTGAAATTTAAGAAATTTTCCAGATTACGTCTTGAAGTTGGTTTCTGCTTATTAATTTTTCTAGATCCCAGTGAATTTACTCAAATTTCTACCTGTACTCAGATCTTTTTAGACCTAAGGAAAATTTTAGTATCATTTAAATTATTGCCTGTAATTGATTTACTCTGTCTTCTTTTGAGGGATGCCTGTAGCTTGAATCTTCATGACGTTCTCCTACTCATTTTTTCTCAAAGAATTCCACCACTTTGAGTATTTCTTATGTTTATCTTCTATATTGCTGATTTGCTCTTCTGCATTGTTAAATCTACTTTTTACTGCATTAACTATTGAATTTTACTTTGGTTATTGTGGTTTTAATTTCATAGTACTCCCCATTTATCTTGGCCTGTTCTTTAAAAGATGCAATGTTCTCTTATAATCAAGAATAAAAATTAGGTGTATTCTAAAACTGGGTTCTGCTTAGTGGACTAAATATATTTCAAAGGAGTAATTTTTGGCGCTAGCACTTTTCTTATTTCATGTGTCACATATTTTTTTCCTACCAGGTTTTTACATGATTTGCCTATTTACCTTTGAGACTGAACTTTGCTGACATCTAGAAGTCCAGAGTTGAGGGCTTTCAAGATCACAGTGTTGGATAATTGAGATGCAGGATCTTACATCCTCATTCCCCCTTCAAAGATGGCCTAGGAAATGCTCAGAAGCAGTGGCTGTTTCATTGTCTTATTGTCTTAGCTATTCTTGGTATTCACTTGCTTTAGGATTTATATTTTTCATCCTCTGCTGTTTTTGAGTACTTCAGGGCCCCAGTGTGTCTCATTTTCTCTAGATCTTAATGTTTTGGTTTTGGTGTTTCCACCTTTGCATTCATGTTTTGGTATGTCCTGAGATTCTGCCCATCTGTACCAATCTGGGTCTCAGTCTCTGAATCTCCAGGTCTTTCTCCACTACCCTCTGACCCCTTATTCTGCTTTATATTTCTTCACAGTACTTATCACAACTTGAATATTTTTTTTTAATCTCTCTTCCTTCCTTTCTTATCTACCTGTCTATATCCTCGCTCTAGAATGTGGATGCCCAGGAACGTAGATGCTCAACAACACTGGTTCCTGAGTCTCTCGCTTTAGTCTCAACCTTTGTGTTTCACACTTTCTCAGTATGCAAATATCTTTCGCGGTCTCGGTCTTGCCTTTCGGTTCCTGTCCTTGTCTCGAGGCCTCTAAGTTTGTGTGTGGGGTACGGAGTTGCGGAGGCCTGCCGCACGTCTGCGGCCGGTGTGTGGCGCGTCGGCGTCCCTCACGCGCGGTCCCAGGTCGTTCCCTGGCTCAGTCAGTACCGCGCTCCGGGGTTTTCCCTGCCCCGACAGCCTCTCAGGCTCAGTGTTACGGCTCCCGTCCCCAAGCCTCGGTGTCCTTCGGCGTCTCGAGAGCCGCCTCCCGCGCCAACTCCCCCGCGAGCGCACGTGACCAAGCAGGGCGGTGACTCTGTCGCCGCCGCAGTGCTCCGCCCCGACCTCCTCGCTTCCGCTGGCCCGCGCAGCCCCGCCCCCAGACGGCGGGGAGCCAATCCGCGTGCACGCTTCTTGGCTCCGCCCCGGCGCCCTCCTCGGCGCGCGCCCCTCCTTCCGCCCGCCGGCCCGCCCGTCAGTCAGTCAGGCAGGCAGGCAGTGGGTCCGAGTGGCCGTACCCTCTTCAGCTGTCCTAAGCCGTGCCCTCCTTGCTCCTTCCCGGTCGGCGTCCGCAGCTGCATCCGCAGCGGCGCGGTCCCTCCGGGAGGTGCGGCGTGGGCCGAGCGGCGGCCGCGGAGCGTCGAGCCCTTCGCGGCGGC